CCGAGATCCCGCCGAGCGGGCTGGAAGTTGGGAGCAGGCAGAGCTGAGCAGATCGCGCTAGGAAGAGTCGGGAAGAATCTCTGCTTTGGGGAACGTGATAAAGTTCTCTGCACCCGCAGCTCTGCGCTCCGGGACCCGCACGGAGCGGGCGGGAGGGCGGAGGTTCAGTAAACATTGGTTTCACTGAATTAACTCGCCAAAGACTGCAGCCGCTCTTCTGAAGTCAGATTATGTTGTAAAAAGGGTCTATAGACATTGAAAATTCCCTACAGGAAGTTAAACTCACACTAAGGGGGGGAGGAAAGTTAAGGAATGCATTCAGAATTCCAATTTAATCCTCAAGTTAAAACTACTCACGGCATTCCCAAATAGCACAGACGAAGGGTGCAAATAAATGTCCATGTGAGGCATCTCTATTTGAAAATTACTGAATTTACTCGATGCAGATAGGTAAACTTTCTGTCTTGTGCTTTGCTGACAGAAGTTTCTTAGTAAAGAACTATATTTACATATATCTCTACATTTTTGGAGCAGGGCAAACACTCCTAAGTAGCCATGGAAAGTTCCCTCTCTGAGAAACCGAAACTGACAAAGAACACCACAAATTCCTGAACCTGAATTGATTCCGCCCCCACCCCCACTCCACCTCCCCCCAAAAGTGGTGGACTTTTTAGAAAACTCATTTGCAGGCAAATACTTACAAGCTGGCATTAGAACACATACATGCAAAATAAGCTAACTTGCTCAAAACGCAATTGAGGTCCTCTCACAAAAATATGATAAGGAGGGAAAAATCCACTCAAGGAACCAGGTCATTATCATGCTTTCTGCAACTGACCTGCCCGGAAGACATTTCTTTAAAAGTAGAAAACCGTATTCACCATCTCACCATTCACACCGATTGGCTGCTCATAGTGTGGGGCTCTTTTCCAACAATCTTTAAAGTAAAAATCAAATCAAAACAGATACGTGGCCAACACTGCCATCATAAAGAGCAACCACCAAATGATAAAAATCTATTTAGTGCTGTGGCTGAAGAGAAGGTCTGTTTTCTTTCTCTTTTATTTTATTTTTTTGGAAAGGTGTCATTGAAAATAAAATTTCTAGGAGGGCAATAAAAAATGATGGTAACAATTGCCCTGAAGCCGTATCAATATAGTTTGGTTCAATTGAGTTTTTTCGATGTGTTAGCAAAAATAAATAAATTACTTCTCCATAACTTTCCCCTTTTGGATGGGCTTAATTATTAATTAACTGGCTATTTGAGTAGTAAGGGGGGGCAAGAACATAAGCGGCAGCACCTATAACAAACGATCAATTTTCTGCCTATATTTATATTAAATTAGCAGAATTGTGCAGTAATAACTTGTGCGAACGTTTTACAGTTTTTCAAAGAATCACCACATTTTTATTTGATCGTTTTTGATGCGATGGTTAGCCCGATGGCTTTTCTCAAAAAAAAGTTGTACTAATTTTATTTATCTTTTATGCATCTACATAACACTTTCCACTCACAGAAGTTGCCATTTTATTACGATCATTAATCATACATCTGACGGGGGTTTGCATTAAGTGTCAAAGGTGACAAAGCGTATCTGGGCAGATACACTCGATTAAAATACAATCAAACGCTTCCATGGATGCAAAGATATTTACTTTATCTGACAGTAATTAGCTAAACTGTCTGGAACGAAAACCTATTATTAGTCGAACTGCGCCCCAGGAATCCTAAGATCTCCCTTTCAGACAAGAGAATACAAACGCCCCAGAACACGGCCGTAACTGGATACTCTTTAGAGCTAGATTCCGCAGTCCGATAAGTGATTCCAGAGAACCGCCCGCCGCTACACAGTCACCGCCGCACCATCGTTTTCCTCCCGGACCACCAAGCGCAGCCGGCGGCGCACAAGCCCACCGGCTTCGTGCAGCAGGCAGCGGGCGTGGGCGGCCTCCCCGGATCCCGCGGATCTGGTCCCGATTCTGCCTCGGAAAACTCTCTTCCAGAGACCCGGGTGGACCAAAAGGAGCCGGGACCGCTCCACGGGGCGGCTGGCCGGAATGGATCCAAGCCCTTGCTCGGGGCGATAAGACAAAGATCAATCCTCGAACTTGAAAAGCGAGCGGAAGTCTCTGGACCGCTGGATCTGCGTTACTCTGGGATGGGGGTAGGGAGAGCTCTCAAAATCCGAACGCGGGCCCTTCTCCACCGGCCCCACCCCACCCCCGTGCTCGCAAGCCGCCAGCCCGCTGGACCAGCCCGCGCGTGGATGGGAGACGTGGGGGCTGCGTCCAGGGCCGGCTGCTGTGGGACACCGTGGCCAGGGGCCGTCAGAGAGAACCTCCCAAGCCCGGCCCACAGCTACTTGGTTGGGAGGTAAGGGTGCTGGGAGGATTTAAGTAAAGGTGAGAAGGGGTGTGTGGCTGCGTGAGTCTGCGGGTGAGAAAGACAGGCTTCAGCGTGGTGGGGAGGGGGCCTACCTGGTGGGCCTTGTCCCACCGGGGTTCTGAGACTGGGGTCATTGGGTTGGGTCCAGGGAAGGCCTAGGCAAGGAAGGACTTCAGTTGGAACTGAAGACAGTTTGGATCATTTTGTTTGTTGCTTTGCTTTGCTTTGCTTTGTTTTTAACAGAATTTTATGTTAATTCACACAAAGAGGCAAAAGAAAGTTGGGGACTAGAGAGAACAGAGAGATTTGTCCTCGACGGAGCGGCCGTTCCACCTATGACCCTAGCCAGCCTCCCAGACGCGCACACACCCTCAAGGTCCCCCCACCCCACGGGACCGCGGACTCACCCCCACCTCTCTCGGGATCTTTGCGCCTCAGCGCTCCGGATCCGCGATAAAAGCAGGCAATTTCTTCCCTCCGCTGCCCCAAGGCCTGGTTGGGTGGGCGACGCGGGCCTACGCCTAGGGTGGCAATCGTTTCTGGGATTGAGGCCGAAAGGCAACGGGCGCTCCTGTGGCAGCAGGATGTGTGTCGTGTAGCAAAGCCTCGCCACCGAAAGTCTCCCCTGCAGCCCGCCGGTCGCCGCGACCCCAGCACTCGGGGCGCACGTGGACCCAAGGCTGGCGAGTTCCCAGGGCGGCCCCTGGGGCCGACTCCCCGCACATTTCCGCTCCCTCTGAGACAGCCCCGCCTCTCCCCCCTCCCAACCCGTGGCTCCTTCCTAGACCTGGGGCACCCCGCTTTACCCACCGTTGTGGGGCACTGTGTGGAAGGTCCACACCCTCGCCCCGACTCCCACCGTGCCTACTGACGCCCGGGGGCGTGGTCCACAGGCCGTGACCCTGCCAGCTGAGGCCGGGCTTCCCCAGCTCCGCCGGCCCATCCCAGACTGCGCCCGAGCGGCTCTGGCCAGAGGAGGGCCGCCGCGGCCGGGCGGGAACCGGTTTCTGCTCATTCGGTGCCAGCGCTGCCCGGGCTCCTGCAGGCTTGGCGCGGCTGGGACTCCTGGGCGGAGAGAAGACGGTCCTCGCCGGCACCCCTGGATGACCCCATAGATTCGCCAGGGCCGCACGAGGGCGCCCGAAGGCGTGCGGGTGGGAGAAGTTGGACCATACCAGGAGGCCTACACCCAGGCACTGGGTTTGAAGAGGCGGAAAAGAACCTCCGTGGTCCCATCCCCTCCCCATTTGGGCAGAGCCTGCTCACCGCGAGGCTGTATGAAACTACCTTGAGGGGGCACTCTGCCAGCCAACCGAACACAGTGTAGCAGTAGCCTGCTCGCATTGAAAGACGCTGGTCAGTACAGTGGATAACCGAAAGATCAAGTCAGCAGTTCAAGCCCACCGGTCACTCCCCCAGGGAGAGATAGAGCAGCCTGCTTTTGTAAAGATTTGCAGCTTTGAAAAACCCTAGTGGAGCCGTTCTACTGTCGCCCAAGAGGTCGTTCTGAGTTGAAATCAAGTCCATGGCGACGGGTGTTCGGGTTTGAAGTGTATCGAGCACTTCAGATGTGCTGGGCCCTACACTAAGCTCTTGATATGTTTTGCTTCATTTAACCTGAAAGAACTATTACTTCTCCTTTCTTTCAAACTGAGCAACCCGAGGCTTAGGAATACCCAAGGCCAGGATTCGAACCAAAGACCATTCTGTAACATACCTGCTCAGTATGGCCCCTGCAGGGCTCACAAGTGCAAATGCAAAGGAGGCCCAGAGAGGTCCACAGGCTACCAGCTAGATACAGGTTGAGACCTAGGTGGGAAGTGATAAACAGCTTGACTGTCTTTCCCTAACACGTGCTGCAAGTTCAGAGGCAGGAGATCTGGGCCCACTTCCTCGGAAGAAGGTGTTTTTGAGCAGAGCCTTGGAGAATAGAGTGAGGAAGAGCTTCCAGGTGCAGAGGATAGCGTGAGCAAAGGCCACACGGTGCAACAGACACTTTGCCCATCCACAAATGTATAACCCTGTTTTCTTGTGGATATTGCGCCTGGTAGTTACAGACCAGGGGTTTTCTTGCCCCACCCACCACCCCCAGACGCTGGAAGCCCACGCTCTCGCATCATCTGCCCTTGAGTTGGGTCGCAGAAAAGTAAGCAGCCCAGAACTAGCCAGGTTGAGCTGGAGTCTGTGTGCTGGGCCCCCGGATCCCTGTGGTCGGTCGCGCCCACAGCGGCTCCCACTTCGCGCCGGTCTTAACCCTGGTCTATTTCTGTGAGCGCCGCGACATCCCACCGGGCGGATGCGGAGGGCGTGGCGTACCTGAGCTGGAACCAATGGGAGGGAGGCCGGTGGAGGGCCACGCCCCCGGCGTGACGTATACCTCCGGGACAGAGGCTTAGCTGCCCCGGCCCCCCAGTCCCTGCAGTGGCTGTAACAAAACCCAGACCCCCCGGTCCCGGCCAATGGAGGCGAATTAGACTGGGGCCCGACCGCGTCTGTCAAAAGCCCGACAGGGCAGCAGCGGCGGAGTGCAGGAGGAGAGCTGGAGCCGCTGCGCTGCCTCTCCGCCCCCGTCGGGATTTATTGAGTACTTGGGCTGGACAATTAAGTGGCCCTGATGATGTTACCAAGCCCGGTCACCTCCACCCCTTTCTCAGTCAAAGACATCTTGAATCTGGAGCAGCAGCAGCAGCAGCAGCAGCACTTCCACGGCGCGCATTTGCAGACAGAGTTGGAGCACCGTTTCCACTCGGCACCCTGCATGCTGGCGGCCGATGGGGCGACGTTTTCTGACGGAGGGGAGGAGGACGAGGAAGAAGAGGGAGACAAACTGTCCTATTTGAACTCACTAGGCGCAGTCGAAGGCCACGGGGAGTCAGGGCTCTGTCCCCAGAGCTATGTCCACACGGTCCTGCGCGACTCGTGCAGCGGGCCCAAGGAACATGAAGAGGAGCCCGAGGTCGTGAGGGACCGGAGCCAAAGTGAGTAGAGGGGGAAAGAAACGCACCTGCACATCTGGAACAGCCCACAACCCTTTGCCGGTACGGCTGCCAGCCCCTTTAGCCTTTGATGGGGTCTTGTGGCCTCCCCCATCCCCACCCCTGGTCAATGAAAACACAGGTACCTGTGAAGGAGCCAGGACAGAGGGGGAAGGCTGAGGTGACCTCTGACATCTCCCCATAGAGGAGTGGGGTGGTGGGGGAGGAGGTGATTGTGGCTGCGGTGAGGGACATGGGCTCAGTTGCTGGGGCTAGACAACCCTCCAGTGGGATTTTCCCAAGAGCTAGAGGGTTAGGAGCCCTTTTGAGAGGCGAGTCTGCTGGGACCAGGGCAGGCGACCCCCTCTTCTCTGAAAAGACCGCCCAAGCAGTTTGATTCCCCAGCGTCAAGGGGCCCAGGGACTCAGCCAAGACTACCTGGGTGGCTTCTTCCCGGCTTTGCTCCGAGTCAGCATTACCCCCAACCAATGTCCCTTTGCCTGAGAGGGAAGGATGATTAGAAGGGCAGGGGAACGTAGTCCTTTCTGTGTGACAGTGATACTCCCATCCCAGGGACTACAGCTTCCTGTTTGAAAAATTGTAATGCTTTGCTTTGTGTCCCAGACTGTGGGCAGAGTACCAAAGTCCGCCACACTTGGTTTGGGGAGTCGAGGGAGGAAGGGATTCTGAGGGGACAGTTAAGAATGGCTTCCTCCCACCCCCTTCAAGGAGGTCTAGGGTGGCAGTGGCCAAGGACAGTTCTGACAGCTGCTCTGGGCCGAAAATCGGCAAGCAACTGTCGTCCACCAATCAGACACCTCTTCTTAAGGTAACAGGCACATCACTCGCACATTTATTTAACACTGGGCAGGTAGTCTTTTAAAAGGAAACAAAAATGTGTCCAGGGGATAACACACAAGGGTTGCATTCAGATATTTCCCTCCAGCCAGATTTCCGCACCACTCACGCAACCCTGGCCCGCAGTACAACACACACGCCCCGCATCTTCAGAGTTCCTGCAGGAGTTGAAGCGAACGAGTTTGCAAATACTGTAGTTAGTATGTAGTTAGACACTTTCATGCTGAAAATAGTCATTAGCTCGCCGAGTCGGAGTCGCGTTTAATACAGGGTAATCTCTCCAAGATGCAGATGCCCAGTCTCTGGTAGATGTGCACTGCATACTGACTCCTCCTCTCACGGACTGCTCCTTTTCCCACCAAGGGCATTCTGAGGGGGCCCAGGCTGTCAGAGGGACCCAGGACACCCAGTGCCCCAATCCAGATATTGACTCTGGCACGCTCCAGGGGCCATGGTGCCCCGGCGTGCAGGCGGTGAGACCAAGAACAGATAAAGGCTGCTGTGGTCTTTGTGTTTCTTCTGCATGCAGCAAGCTGTCAGCTGAAGAAGCCCCTGGAGGCGGTGGGCGACAGCAAGGCGGCGGCGGAGAGCGAGAGGCCGAAGCCGCGCAGCCGCCGGAAGCCGAGGGTGCTCTTCTCCCAAGCCCAGGTCTTCGAGCTGGAGCGCAGGTTCAAGCAGCAACGGTACCTGTCGGCGCCCGAGCGCGAACACCTCGCCAGCAGCCTGAAGCTCACGTCCACGCAGGTGAAGATCTGGTTCCAGAACCGCAGGTACAAGTGCAAGAGGCAGCGGCAGGACAAGTCCCTGGAGCTGGGCGCACACGCGGCCCCGCCGCCGCCGCGCCGCGTGGCCGTGCCGGTGCTGGTGCGGGACGGCAAACCGTGCGTCACGCCGGGCGC